GCTAATGATAATAACAAATAGTGTGGAGGGGGGGGAGGCAGAAACTGATTATTCCCCACTTAGTTCACCAACTTTGCCTCTTCAAAAAAAGAAAGAAAAAAAAAATCACGCCCTTGGTGACTATTCAATCTCAACAACCTAAATAGTGTTGAAAAATTAACACCAGTTGGCACGCAAGGTAGTAAAAACAAAAACAAAAACAAAACGACATTGCTTATAAACTGCCACACGAAGTTCACAAGAATGCCTTACATAGTGTATCTGTGTACGTTAACGATACTGAAATTCAGTCACAAAGACACTGTATTTTGGTATGGTGTTTGGCATGTAATAAAATCGTTTTTTTTTTAAGATAATGACAGTTGATAGTCTCAGCTTAGGTAGAACTGTTGCCTCTTTGTGAGTAATTGGTTACAAGTAATCGTCTGGCTTAGTACGTTTATGTCCGTTTATCTGTCTTTCAGGCTGTGGTTCTGAATGTCTGTTCTCTTTCTCTCTCTTTATATATATGTATATGTATATGTATGTGTATATGTGTATATGTATTATATATATATAGATAGAGATAGAGATATAGATATAGATATAGATATAGATATTTATATATATATATACAGATATATATGTATATGTATATATATATATATATATATATATATATATATATATATATATATATGTTTATACACACACACACACACACACACACACACACACACACACACACACACACACACACACACACACACACACACACACACATACACACATATACATACACACACTCACCCATATACTGTATATACAAATACCGACAAATGTGTCCTTTTCTTGCCGACCAGAGACAATCCATTTACGGACGAGTGTAAGGGACTGGGCATTCGCCTAATATATGAACATTATTTATGATATCAATACTTTCTTGCATAGCTGACTCTCTTCACGGCTGTTAGGCAGCGAGGTTTGTTCTAAATATAAACCATTTAAGGGTAATATCAGTATTGATATGATACTGATAGTGGAGAAGAATGACGGTTATGATAATAATAATAAAATGATAATAATAACC